GCACGAATGGGCCGACTCGACCGGAGTGATACCACGGCCTTACAGAAAACTAACTTGAAGCAACGCTTGCGTTGTGTTTCGTCGTGTGAGTGAGGTTACCGGAGGCCCAATTACCCTCTCCTTCCCCAATCTCTTCAATCCCTGAATCCCCATCGATCCTCATACTCCTAATTCCCAAAAAGCCGGTAACACACTTGTAACGCCTCTGGTGTTCCAGGTGTCCATGGGCGACGCCGATTGCTTACCATAATGTGATCCGTCTGCTCGTTTACCGGCTTATTCCATAAAAAAAAAGTGAACATGAATCAAGTCTAATAGTGAGCAAGCCTTTTACGTTACACTGAGCAATTTATAACTAAGAGTATTCAAAATAACACAAACTTAATCGGTGAACAATACTTTTCCAAAATGCGGGAGTTGAATCCTTGCTTGGCACTACACGACATTAAAAAAAATTAAAAACTGCAATGTTTTTCTTAATTTGTAAGACCAAAAGTAGGTATCTACGTCGTGTATCAAACCAATAATTTTTACTCGTAATACATTTTTTCTGGACTATACATAATATTCTTATGAAGACGATGAGATGTTCCATATTACGCTGGCTCAGCAAGCGGTTAAGCCTAACAAACCGATTACGCGGATATCTGTGACCACTCAACCGTGACCTGACATGTAAAGGATTACCACTGTTCAATGTTCGCCTTGTAATAATATGTATTGAACCAACCTTGGATGTAAGAGTCATTAAGATGATGATCTGATGAAAGTTCCATTTGATATTCGACTGCATGGTTGGCGCGGTGGTTGGGCAACTGGCTGCCGCGCAACAAATCGCGGATGCTACTCCTGCACGGAACAACTCGTTGTGTGATCCACAGATTGTTGTTCCGGGTCTGGGTGTCATGTGTGAGTAAACTTATGTTTGTAAACGCACACACTCAGGAGAAAATGCTAGTGAGGAGGCAATGTTTTTTAAACAAAGAATACAAAGAAAAGATATTGTATTGAACTATAATTATCTTACACCTTTTTTCATCAATTTCATTACCGTTTTTGTGATCAACAAGTTTAAAATAATATTCACGAGATACCTACCTGTATAACCAAATTCTGTAATTATCTGTATTAAAAAAACTGATTCCAAATCAAACAGTGGTCAGTAGTTACATTTTGTAGTAAGACTTGCTTAACTGTCTTTGACTGCCTCGTTGGCCAAGTGATCGCAAGTGCGACTACCGGGCAAGGGGTTTCTGGTTCGACTCCCGGGTCTGGCAAAGTATTACTGGGTTTGTTTAAAATTATCAGTAGTAGCACGGAGTCTGAAATTGTGCCCGCTATATGGCAACAGGCTCACCCGCTATTAGATGGGACTCATAACATAAATAGTTAAAAAGTGGGTGTTACATTACCATGTAACTACTCACTTAATGCCATTGTACAGTGGTATTAAGTGCCGTAAAGTGCACCTCAGCCTACCCCTTCGGGACTAAGAGGCGTGATGTTATGTTAATGTCTTGCTTAACCAAATTGTATGTATATAAGATCCATTATAAAAAAAAAACTATCAATGTTTCATCCCTTCAATGATCTTAATTCAAATATCCATCTTCCATCTATATATATAAAATTCAAAGGTGATTGACTGACTGACTGACTGACATAGTGATCTATCAACGCACAGCCCAAACCGCTGGACAGATTGGGCTAAAATTTGGAATACAGATAGATGTTATGACGTAGGCATCCGCTAAGAAAGGATTTTGATAATTTCCACCCCCAAGGGGGTAAAAAAGGGGATGAAAGTTTGTATGAAACTTTGTCAGTTTTAAACCGATCGGGTTTAAATTTGGCATGCAGATAGATGTTATGACGTAAGCATCCGCTGTGAAAGAATTTTGATAATTTCCACCCCCAAGGGGGTAAAATAGGGGATGAAAGTTTGTATGAGGCTTTGTCAGTTTTAAACCGATCGGGTTGAAATTTGGCGTGCAGATAGATGTTATGACGTAGGCATCCGCTGTGAAAGGATTTTGATAATTTCCACCCCCAATGGGGTAAAATAGGGGATGAAAATTTTTATGAGACATTGTCAGTTTTAAATCGATCGGGTTGAAATTTGGCATGCAGATAGATGTTATGACGTAGTAATCCGCTGTGAAAGGATTTTGATAATTTCCACCCTCAAGGGGGTAAAATAGGGGATGAAAGTTTGTATGAGACTTTGTCAGTTTTGAATCGATCGGATTGCAATTTGACATGCAGATAGATGTTATCATATAAGCATCCGCTAAGAAAGGATTTTGATCATTTCCACCCCTAAGGGGGTAAAATAGGGGGTGAAAGTTTATATGAAATTTTGTCAGTTTTACACCGATGGAGATGAAATTCGGCATGCAGGTAGATGTTATGACGTAGGCATCCCCAAGTAAGGATTTTGATTATTTCCACCTCCAATGGGGTAATGTAGGGGATGAACGTTTGTATGAAGCTTTGTCAGTTTTACACCGATCGGGTTAAAATTCGGCGTGCAGATGGATATTATGACGTAAACGTCCCTTTAGAAAGGTTTTTGAACATTCTCACCCCAAAGTATGATACTTTGCCAGTTTTTAATTGATCGGGCTGAGACTTTGCATGCATAAATTTACTATGACATAGGTATCTCCTTAGAAAGGATTTTGATAAATTCCACCCCTAAGGGGATAAAATAGGGAATGAGAGTTTGTATAAATCTTCTTAGCCATTGAATTTAGAATCATTGAATCTTTTTGAATTACATTCGGTAAAACGATGATTTGGGACCTGGGTAAAGTTTGATAGTTTTTATCACAAATGTCCTACGGGAACGGGAACTATGCGTCAATGCCCCGGGACTGTCTAACTCTTAACCACTGAACTTATTTTAGAGAGATTCGGTACAACAATAGTCGATAGAATAGTTTTTATTACTCAAACCTTACGTGATCGGGCACTGTACTGGTAAATCCCTGCGGGATTATTTATTTATTGAAACTACGATAAATCATTTCAAAATAGGTAAATGTTACTTGGGCACTGAATTGATTCTGTCAGAAGTCATTAATCTACGCGGACGAAGTCGCGGGCAACAGCTAGTTCTCAAAATAAATTCTAAGCACCTTCAATTCCTAAAATAAACGTTTAGTACTCATTAAACCGACAAACCTAAAGCCGCCATTACACCCAGAAATTATTTTAAGCAACATCTTAATTTTGAGTTAAAGTAAATATAATTAGTTCGCCTTTGATATTCTTAATGTCCCACAAGAGATATGGGATGAATGAGTTCCCGATTATCGCCTCAACAACGAACGTCCTAATTAAATATCCTCTCAATACTGAATTTTAATTAAATTATGCTAATTAATATTCGGTTTTAATGTTAACAAGGTTTTTGGGGTGGATTTACTTGGATTATGATTCTTGGCTTATGATACTGGCAGGTAGAATCCAAAATTTTTTTTGATAAATAGGGTAGTTGCCTAAATTTCATTTTAATGTCCGTCTGGTACATTAATTTAAAACTTTAGAAACGTATTTTTTATTTTCTCACAAAATTAAATTCTTTCGACGATGTCGTCTTTTATTTTGAAATCGATTAATTTGAAATATCGTGTGACGTGACAGCGTGCCACATTTTGTAGCACGTTATGACGTAACGACCTCCCACTCCTAAATTTAGTGCCATTTTATTTAAGTATTGCAACTTAATAGGAGCAAATAAAAAAATACGTGTCTAATATTTTTTATTATCTAACTGACGGACTAATTAGATTTTTAATTTTGATACCCTGGAAACTACCCAATTGTGTATTTGGTATGACTACAAATGTTACAAATAGCATTATATTGTGTTCTCGAATTAAACATCAATGAAATAATCAGACCAGACGTTGTATCCATGGCTTTTACTGGACTGAAAGCCTCAAATTATTCTACAAATAATAAGCAAAACTAAGGGCCAATTTTTCAATACCCAGTTAAATTTTATCAGAAGAATAACTTGGAATATTTGATAATTCCTTCCATACTAATAACGGTCAAATGTAAATTTTGTTCAACAGTTAAGAATTGGGATGATGACGGGGTATGAAAATTAAAAAGTCCGTAAGTTAGGTAATGAAAAAATATTAGACACGTATTTTTTATTTTGTTGTATAATAAAATAATACTTAGATAAAACGAATCAAAGTTTAGGAGTGGGGGCTAAAACGTCATTTCTACGTATAAATGTACATAGAAGTGACGTCACGTTACATTTCAAATCAATATATCGTAGAAAGTATTCGTTTCTGTAAGAAAATAAAAAATACGTGTCCAATGATTTAAAATAATCTACCATACGGACATTACAATAAAAATTAGGCATCTACCCTATTCACTGGTAATATAAAAATCGACCTTAACACAATGTCCTATTGAACAAAACTAACTGAAACAAATATGAAAACATTTAAAAACTTGAGTCAAAAGAATTAAATACTTACACCATTAATGCCAGTTTGTTAGCTACTACGGGCATCATTAAGCAACCCGTTTCCCTAAATTATCCCATAAAACTTAAGGGTCAATAAAGAGCCTACTTAATTTTCTATGACTACGGAATTTACTTAGAAAATGCGCCGGTATTGAGTGGCTTAAAAATTTATTTTTTCTTGATTACAGTAGTTGGAGAGGTGATAATCAGAAATAGTTGTTTTATTATGACTGCCTCGTTGGCTGAGTGGTCGCAAGTGCGACTGCCGGGCAAGGGGGCTCGAGTTCAATTCATGGGTCGGGCAATGTTTACTGGATTAAAAAAAATCTAAGTAGTAGCATGGAGTCTGGAATGTGCCCGGTATATAGCAATAGGCTCACCACCTATTAATTGGGACTCATAACATAAATAGTGAAAAACACCGTACAACCTAATTATAGTTTTCCTAATACCCAGTCCCTTTGCTCGCACTTGTTTTTAATTATCAAGGTATTCAGTAATAAATAAAGATAATACAAACAACGACTTTTAGAAAATTAATTTTAATTATTTTCTTCTGACTAGTATACAGCAAGTTGTGTCCTTTGGGCAGTCGGTAGCGTCCCTGTATCTGACGATTTCGTTACATGGATCCTTTCCAGGGAAGCATTCGCCACCTCGCTTTTTGCACCTTGTCTCTTTCACTGATACTGGAAAATGAAAAACTGAATTAAGATATGATATTTTTGTGAATGTGGCCTCATTCTAGGATTGCTTCCTTATTTTATGTATGCATTTTTAAACATCAATTTCACATACACAAACTATTTCAAGATGGACACGTATGTTAACGATATTATATTGTAGTACTAGCTACTTCCGCGCGGTTTCACACGCTCTGCTCAGCTCTTATTGGTTGTAGCATGAAGTTTTATAGCCTATAGCCATCCTCGATAAATGCGCTATCAAACACAAAAAGAATTATTCAAATCAGACTTGTAGTTACGGAGATTACCGCGTTCAAACAAACAAACAAAAAAACGAACTCTTCCGCTTTATATAATAAATATAAAATAAGATAAAGACATATATATATATATAGTAATTGGATAAAAGTCCTGAACGGAAAAATGCTTTCAATAGACTACGTGATTACACCCAAATTTTCGTGCAAATGAAACTCACATTTTCATCAGCTATGTTATCAGCACCTATTATGATGTGAGACTATAATTATATCTAAAAGTAAGTATACTTTAAAAAACCTACAAATACGTGCTTATCGTCTCGGTAATCATATCCTTAATAGTTGATAGTTGACCAATCATTCGACGAAGGAGTTGGTAAAAATGAAGAGTGTATGAAATAGGATGACATTCAAAATCACTTACATCCATAACAGCATTCAACTCCTCGTTTCTGTTGTTTAGGACATAATCCTCGTTCTTCTACCAGATGACCGGCTGGACAGTCGCCTGCGATCGTGCACATTCCACCCTGCGATATACATGGCCCTTCCTGGTCGATTGAATCTAGTATCTTGACTGGAAGAAAGGCATTGTTTTGTTATTAATTCATTAATTGCAGAAAAAAGTAAGTTATATAAATGTTGAGTTATGAGTGGAAGTATTTTGTTGTGTAACATCCATTTTTTGTCTTTTTTGCATATAAATTACAGCTAAACCTATTTTATTCTTGATTTTTTTTTGCTTTTGTTTCAGGGATTAAGTTTTTAATAAAATTCCTTTAAGACGATGAAATAATTGCATTTTATAAATAATCGTGACTATAAGAAAAAAAACAATATAATATAATTTATACACATAAAAAGGTGCCGACCAAGAGGTCTCGGGTTCGATTCCCGAGTCGCGCAAAGTATTATTGGTTTTCTTTTAATTTTCAGTAATAGCGCGAAGACTGGAATTGTGTCCGGTATACGGCAATAGGCGCACCCCATATTACATGGGGCTCATAACATAAATAGTGAAAAGTGGGTGTTACATTGCACATGGCATTAAGTGTATGTGGCATTAAGTGCTGTAACGTGCACCTCTGCGTTCCCCTTCGGGGATATAAGGTGTGATGCTACATAAACTTTTTCTAATATGTTAAATGCATTTAGAAATGTTATTGTAAAAGTTGGTGTTACATTGTACAGTGGCATTAGGTGTCATAATGCGCATGCGGATAAAAGGCGTCATGTTATGTTATGTTATATAAAAACAACCGCCAAACTAAAGTGACCTTTAAAAACAAAACCGGACAGTTATAAAAGGAAAAAAAAATGTAAGTGCGTGACTACAACCACGTACGGGTTTTGTCGTAGGTCGTGTTGGCATACATTCATTCATCGCTGCGTTACGTAACAACAAACGTAAACTTTAAAGTTTAAGTTTTAAGTTAATGCATAAGGGATATCCAGCAGAGATGTGCTATGTTACGTTGGTGTGGATGCATTTGGCATCCACCAATCGTAATCATTGGTGCACATAGCTTAGCACCGGTGGAAACGGTTACCACTAAGATAATATATTTCTTCTATGGAAGGATATGCGTGCCATGGATGTGTGGCGCCCTCACCGATTCCCTACTTCCCTACTTGTATAGAATCACTATTTTTATGGATTGTCATTTTGCATAATTATGTGAACACCATGTTAGACTATAAGTTTTTTTTTTATTTTAGTAATGTTTGAAATAATAGTACCTATAATGCGTCAAGCGTGTCTTCGCATTGTTGTCACATATACGTACAGTATTAGAATATGTATAAGGGACATTGTTGAACATACTTTTTTAAAAAGAGTAACGAATGGAGTTTCTTGCTCGTTCTTCTTCATTCGAATCCACATTTTGGAATGAGCTCCTAGCTTTACCTAGCTTCACTGACGGACTGACTGACAGACTATTATTTATTTTGTATTTGTTGACGTTTCAAAAGTACCAAATAATGGTTTAAACTGTCAAACACCAAGCGGTCACCGGTGACCGCAACCTATTGTTCTTTAATTGTGTCTATAATGACGGTACTCAACGAGTTAATTGAAATAAATGCGTTGACTTTAACTTCGACTTTGACTGTAGATACTTCGCATAGCTGCACATCTTTCTCGCGCAGCTACTTTGCGACGGCACATCTTCATAGCACATCTTATTGCACCACTACATAGCTTAATATAAGTGGAAACGGTCACATAGTTCCTTGGCTTTGCTATTGCAACCTTGAAACACAGTTACATAGTACATATCTGGTGCAAAAGTCCACCATAACGTCACCTAAACCTTATAGTTCACGTTGTAGATAGACATACAGATCTTGGATCCTGTTATGAGTCTCCTATTGCCTTCAGACTTCGTGTCATCACACTCCATCGGGACATATAACCTGAGACCCCTTACTCGGTCGTCGTCATATTATACTGAATGATATATCATTGAAAAGATCTTAATTGAAGATTCATATTTCAACATAACATAACATAACATCACGCCTTTTTATCCCCGAAGGAGTAGGCACAGGTGCACATTTTGGCGCTTAATGCCACTGCACAATGTAACATCCACTTTTCACTATTTATATTATGAGTCCCATGTAATAGGGGGTGAGCCTATTGCCATATATCGGGCAAATTTCCAGACTTCGTGCTACTACTAAGATTTTTAAAAACCCAGTAATACTTTTCATATTTCACTTAGCCTCTAAAGTCAAAATTGTCTATTTTTATAGTTTCTTCGATAACTCAGCGATCGTTTAAACTGGACGACTGTTGACGTATATAAGTGGCATAAGTGGTACCAATAAGTGTCATATGTTGGTCATAAGATCCCAATAGATCTAACCAAGTTCACTTTTATGACCCAAACAGTTACAGTTGACGATGAAAAGTTCATTGCAGTAATACATCATATTCACTGCTAGAAGATTTATTCTTGTTATGTTTAGAATCCATATACTCATATTATTTTTAAAATGGACAGTAAAATATTAAAAAAATTTAAAATTATGCCTGATTTTACTCAGTAACTCTTAGGCAATAATATTATAAATCAATATTGAACATTAAATAGTAAAACATTATTTCAATTGGAACCGTTCACAAAGAATCATTACGAGACAATAAAACAACAATATTATACACGAACTAATTTTAAAACCAACTTAAACGCGGCTCTAAAAATCCACCATCACCTTTATAACAAGAGAGCAGAAGATCAAAATCAAATGACAATCGTTATTCGATCAGTAGATTTAAATTTGTCAGGTCATGACTGAATAAGGCGGTTGATGTCTATTGTGAAATGATTGTGGACGTTCCACCCACTAGGGCATCGATGTATAGATTCGATCAAGATGATTGCCAGTGTTGATTCAATAGGTAGCATTGATCTTGTTTACTGTCGGTGTGTCTGTACCATCCATACAAACGTTGTTTACCTACTTAGTCACCAGTGAGATGAGTCTTTAGTGTGAATTAGAAGTAAGAGTAATTTAATACAGAGTGTATTAGATAATATATATTATGCTGTGTCATTTTGAAGGCCAGGATTATTGATTAGGAACAAATGAATTAGGATATAGGTACAATTCGGTACAAAGTTTAAATGAACAGCATAGTTACCTAAGACCGGTATTGTGATACCCATTTAATATTTGTAAAAATATAACAAAATTTTCCAATTGTTTGGTTTTGGTGGAAAATCAAGAATAGATATAATAGCAATACCATGTCTTTGGAAATCAGCTCAAGGACAGTGTACTTGCGTGTTTATATTTCATAGTTTATCACTAAACCAACGAAGCTGTACACATTTTCCTTATTGACGGTATTATTGTAAAAAACATTTTAATACTTGACATTATTGATTAGTTACCTAATGATCCTGAATATTTATGGAAACTGCCACTAGCGACAGAGTAAGATGCTACAATTCTCAAAGGTGTCAATGGTGATGAATATGAAAAATCGCCTGTTAAAACTTCTCTGACCAATGAACGTATTAAGCTTGATAATGATTAAAACAATGAAGTCATTAAAACGAATTCAAACACAACTCAAAACTTACCACACACATTAAATCATTACAATAAAAACGAAAGCAAAAACGTAAACACATAAATACAAACAAAACGATACTCACACTCTGGTTTAGCCAGTACACAGACAATAGAAAGGATGAATACGAACTTGGAGGTGCACATGCTTACACTGATATCTTCATGCACGACCGCACTTCGACTGATACGGAGACAGAATGAGCCATCGGTATTGCAAACTTGTCTGTTTTAATATCCCCCGTATTAGTAACGTTTATGACTTCCAGATAGGATGCAAGCAAGTTTTCAACAATGATAATATTATTGTTAGCTTGTTTGTGTATTCCAGTATTGATTGTGGTTATCAGTTCTTGGATTTTCTCGTGTGTTATGCAATTTTCGATGCTAAATATTTGTTTGGTTTGCGTCGTCTTTAGGATTGTTTCAAAGTTATTTTAGAAATTCTTGTCCGGTTTCTTGTATTGTATTCAGTCAAAATAGTAGAAATAATTAATTATGAGTGTTATTGCATTTTTAATGCCTTCTTCTCTGTAATTTTTTTTACTCTCACCCCGTTTTTACTCTCATATCATTTGTATCTTTTTTCAAATTAAATAGTTCATCATTAGCTATAAATTTATCAATTGTCATCATAGTATCATTAGAATTAAATTTATCCAAAGGATTTACATCATTGGACAACATCACAATAAAATTATTTATTGTTTAGACTTCCTGATTGTGAACTATACTTGAAATGCAAAACACGTCGTCCTTGATGACTATTTTTCTTGGTGTTACACAATATTAGAGTACAATCAGTGTTACATACTTATAACCGGTCATTCATTGTGTTATATGTTTTTTCTATAGTTTGATAATGATGTGTTACTACATAAGTACTTTGTGTTGACAACCTTTTGGTCTAGTTTCTGAGTGATTGCAAAACTTTATTTTTATATAATTTTATTTGTTTCGAGATATATCATTGATTATGTAGCTTGTAACTTTTTTTTTCATCGTTTACCAGAACGTTCTGTTTATGTTACGTAGATATTTAATTTTTATCAAATGTATCTAATTGTTATTCAGTTGTCCCTTATCTTTCATTAAAGTAATTACTTTTAACAGTTCTTGTACAAATAATAATTAACCTATTCTTCATTCGTGAATTTAAATGAAACTATCAATTTGCCTTTCATAGAAATCAACGTGGCCCATTCAAAATTATCCAACACTTAAAAAACAGTATATCATGAAAACTATCAAGGTTTTACGGGACGAACTGCCTTGCTGCATTATGAAGGTATCTATTGATAAAATTCGAGTACTGTCACGATTTGTACAAGTTTATTTGAACCTATAATTACAAGGTTAAAGTATTGCTTTACACGGTTAGCGCGGTGGCTGGTTAACCGGCTGCCACGCAATATGTCGGGTCCGATTCCTACACGGAGCAACTCTTTGTGTGATTTACAAATTGTAGTTCCGGGTCTGGGTGTCATGTGTATGTGAACTTGTATGTTTGTAAACACACCCACGACACAGGATAAAATCCTAGTGTGGGGCAACGTTAAAAAAAAATAAAACAAAAATCTGCACTTTTTTTTTTGAGGTCGGAAAGTCATCCATCCAATGACTGCTCCCGCCTGGGTGAGGCGAGGGGGAGTGTCAGACTCTTACTGACTAAAAACCACCCCGTTCCTACTCCTGCACTTACTCTTACTCAAGCCGGAGCCCCGGCAACCCGTTAAGTCTTCCGCGGCTCCGTATCGGCATCAGCCCTATAAAAAGAATAGGTCTATAAAAAATCTACCACCCATAGTACTCTTAGTTACAATTTTGCACCCATCTTTATTATTTTCCCTCACCATTTCCCACAATTTCGCTCCAATCCCACCACTCACAAGCCTAACCTGATTTTATTCCTCTAAGGTCTAAATTGTCGATTAGCCAGGCGCTTTCGAACGGGTGAAACGACGCACCATTTCAGATAACCCTAATTTCGATGAAAATTACAATTTTTTCGACTGCGGCTAAAGTAAATTGTTCGTCTAGACATTTTGAAGTGTGCCAATAAAATTATATGCATGAACACGTTAACCTTACTTTGGAAGAGTGAATCATTGAAGTTTTACATTATTTGCAATCATAAGCGATAGAATAACATAGAAAAATGCCTTTAATGTATGTAGATAAGTTATTTCTGAACCTTGTTGTGAACCATTTTAACCAAACATGTATAAACATAGTTTTTTTCCATTATTTTAAGATACAAACAGACTGTTGTAATATCTAAGTCAGGTATAGATCTATTAATTATTATTATTCTTCGCAGTTGTAGACAAAGATTGACTCGCAACAATACATCCATTTTTTGCCAATTATGTAATTAGACTGCCTCGTTGGTCGAGTGGTCGCAAGTGCGACTGCTGGGCAATGGCGTGATGTTATGTTATGTTATGTGTTATATGTAATTAGATCCCACAATAACATAACAAACCCACAGTACCTCGTCTGACATAATTTCAAATTCTAAAACATTTGATACTTTACCAAATACAGGATTTACAAAGATTACGTAAACAGCAGTAAGACACTATCTACATACATCCAATTGTAAAACACAAAGAGAATTGACCTCTGTACCTTTCGCATTAAAAGTTCCGTAGGAAAAAAAACAAGATGGCTGCTAAAAATAGTACTTTTCCACAATAATTATATTATGAAATAGTTGCAGCTTAACACCCGTATAGATGAGTAGTGACATAATTGTGGGCTGTAATCCCTTATCGTTGGTGACTGATGGAACCCGCATAGTCGTCTTGTATCACCTGAACTGAGTGATTAATGACCCCTACTGTTGGTTTGTGTGGGAGCGAGATGCAAGATGTTTTTCTAAGGGTGTGGAGACAGTGAGGGGGTGCGTTGGGAAAGCGACTTTTGATTATGTTTATGGGTTGTGTTTGGTGTGGTTTTTTTCAGTTATGGAAAATTTGGCCGGGTAATCGTAACTGCTATAGATGAATAGAGGATTTTGGTCATTTAGGTTGAACAAAATATCGCTGTGACTTGCGAAAGAGGTCAAAATGGAAATCATACATCATACATTTTCCAATTCTGTACTATACCTAGAAATTTTACAAATAAGCCCATTTATTATTAGGTCATTCAATTTTTTTAATGGAATAGGAAGCAACGAGCAGACGGATCACTTGATGGTAAGCGATCAGCGCTGCTCATGGACACCTGCAACATCAGAGGAGTCACAGGTGCATTGCCGGCCTTTTAAAAAGGAATACGCTTTTACAATAGGGCTAGTCGAATACTCATCATTAGCTTAACTAGTAAAAAGTGGACTGCCCATGTTTCTTTCTTATATTATCAGGATATTTTTATGTCATAATACTGCCTCGTTGGTCGAGTTGTCGCAAGCTCGACAGCTGAGTAAGGGTCTCGGGTTCGATTCCCGGGTCGGGCAAAGTATAAGTGGGTTTTTAAAAAAAATCTCTGTAGTAGCACGGAGTCTGAAATTGTGCCCGGTGTATGGAAATAGGCTCACCACCTATTACATGCGACTCATAACATAAATAGTGAAAAGTGGGTGTTACATTGTGCAGTGGCATTAGGTGCCGTAATGTGTACCTCTCCCTATCCCTTTGATAAGATGTCCTATTATGTTATGTTAGTAATAATGCATGCAAATTAAAAATCGCTGTGTCTATCACCATGGTGTTACCCTTAATCTTCTTAGTAGTGACATGGGTGGAACAAAGAGGTAGCTTACATTTGTAGGTAGGTGTGCTACTGTACTGATCTCTTGTCATAACTATATGTGTTCTACTTCATATACATACTTAGTGTTATGTATTATGTAGACTCTGAAGACGAGATCTGGTTGGGGATTGTTAAGCACAATGTTGTTACAAACTCCTATGGCATTATTTTCTTTGCACTTTATCTGTGGCTTTACACTATCGGGCACATTATTAAATATCCATTAGGTAACTTTCTTTAAATAGATGATAAAAATGTCCTATTGATACAGTTTTCGTAATATATTTGTAATAAGTGTAGGAGAGCCATGCTTCGCCGTAAATGGGACTCGAATTTTTTTTAAGGGGGAAAATCATGGAATGACTACTCCCGCCTGGGTGAGGCGGGAGGGAGTGTCAGACTCTTACTGACTAAAAACTACCCCGTTCCTTCTCCTGCACGTCGAGCCGGAGTCCCGGTTACCCGTCTCCGCGACTCCCGTTAGGTTCTCAGCGACTCCATGGGATTCGACTGGAGTGATACTACGGCCTCACAGAAAACCGACGTAAAACAACTTGCGTTGAATTACGTCGTGTGAGTGAGATTACCGGAGGCTCAATCTCCCTAATCCGTGAATCCCCAAAAGGTAGGTAACGCCTTTGGTGTCTTGGGCGACGCCGATTGCTTACCATCAGGTGATTCGTCTGCTCGTTAACCGATCATAATCCTATAAAAATGTTTGAAAGTTTTATCTATTTGGTGCTAATTCATTATACATCGACGATTCTGTTGATTGTCGTGGAGTTGATTATAAGGGAATTTTCAGTTTAAGATATAAAATCAATAATAAAATTGAAATAAGTCAAGGTTTCTGTTATTATACCAGCTCATTCTAAAACCTTATCTAATGTCGTTGCAGGAGCAGGTAAATACACACATGAATTTATTGACAAAATGGCCTGAATACTTGGGAACTGACGTAAATGATACCGTTGTTGATAGCTTAGCTGTACGTAATATCAGTGAACTATAAATAAATTATAGTGTTTGTTAAGAACTGCAGTTAAAGGGGATTTTGGTTGATTTATACAGTATTTTTAAATAGGAACTAATTTGTAGGTATATTATTTGATACTGATTCGGAAATTGTTACTCAGGTAATCATAACTTAAGCTATATCATGCACTTGATTATTAACACAACGTAACATCATGCATTTTATCTCTGAAGGAGTAGACAGAGGTGCATATTACGGCACTAAATACCACTGTACAATGTTACACCCACTTTTCACTATTTATGCTATGAGTCCCAATAAAAAGGGGTGAGCCTATTACCATATTCCGGGCACATTTCCAGACTCCGTGCTCCGTGCATTATCTGAGAATTTTTTTTGAAAATCCAGTAATTCTTTTCCCAATCCGGGAATTGAACCCAAGACCCCTTGCCCCGCAGTCACACTTATGATCTCTCGACCAAGGCAGTTAAACACAAT